ATTTGAAGTCAGATCGACCTGGGTACAAATCCCAGCTTTACTATTTACCAGTTGGGTGCCACTAGGGAAGTTCCCTGAGCCTGTGTTGTCTCATCTGTAAAAAAGGGAATGAAAGTAGTACCCACCTCAGAAGGTGGTTATGAGCATTAAATGAGATGGTGGAAGTAAAATGCCTAGCCCAAGAGAGGTAATGAGCACTCAATAAACTTGGGCTGTATCATTTCCTCCCACATGGCACAGGAAGTCAGCCCATTCACCCAGCCCTGGCCTTCCTCTCCACAGTCTGGTTAATTTCCTTCAACCAGTTCCCTGGGAAGTGGGTATAAGGAGGGCTTTGTTGGCCGCTAAGCACCCTCACACACTCCCTTCTCCTGTGAGGTTTTAGCCTTGGCAGAAAAGGTGTACATGGCTTGCTTTTGCACTCCTCGCCACACGTGTTTTACTGACAACTGTGGTGGGTTGAAATCTCTGACATGTCTTTCGAGCACCATCCAACGCTATCCTGCCAACTCCGGCAGGCCCTTAACCAGTTGGCACCTCCTGTTCTTCAGCACATGTTTTAATAGAAAGCCCACTCTGCTATGGTTCTCCTTCCTAAGACAGCAGTGTTTTGCCACAAAACTAAAACGTTCTAAAAGAGTTGATCAGTGTTTTCGTTAGCTCTGCTGTGTAGGGTGAATGATTCCCTGGAAATAGCCGTCCACCTCCCCCTGCCAAACATCACTGGAATGCAAGTAATGTTCTGACCAGTGGGTTGTGAGCAGCCTAGGAACTCCACTCAATGTACGTCTCTCTGAGTCCAGAAAGGAAACCAACCTCCCCTGTGGTTTTTAGGAAAAGGGATCTGAACAGAACTTTGGGGATGAAGGGTGGGCCATGGATGAAAAGTGTTATGGAATGCAATACATCCCCACGTGTGGTATACGTGCCTCTGCAGGCACACGACATGGTTTTAAGTGGCACACAGATTTTTTTTCTTACAGTTAAGCAGTTTAGTTAGCGTAAATTTAAAATATACGAACACCATGTTATCCTGTGATGTTGCCGATATTATGGCTTCGAAAATGTTTTCAAAAATTCTGAAAATAAGATCCTTAAAATAGTTCTATTCAATAAACAATTGGATTGGTGATATGCACATGTAGCAAAAAGCCCAAAAGTGTTAGAGGAAGGACTTTACATGCCATCCAAATGGTTATAAGATTCTGAGTCAGAGAAACCTCATTCAAACCTGGTCTACCACTTACCAGCTGTGTGAATTTAGGAAAGTAACCTAATTTCTCTGAGCCTCAGGGGAAAATGGAGGAGAATAATAGTAGCAGCTTCACTGGACTGTTGTCAAGCTGAAGCCAGGAGCTTTAAACTGTAGTGGTGTGAGGGCCCAAAACCTAGTGCCGGGTGTTCTGCTTTCCGATGCTACCTCTTCTGCTGACTAGCTCATTGACGTTGAGCAACTTACTTCATTTTTCTGTGCCTTAGTCTCCCCGTCTGGAACATGGGACATTTAGAGGGTTACATGAGTTACCATATTTGAAGTGCTTAGAAATACTTCTAGTATATATGAGGCATGATGTGTTTCTTCAATTAAAAATACCTGCATATAAAGCTCCTGACACCTGACTCCTAGTAAGTCCTCGAGAAATGTTACCCATTGGTGGTGCTTTGTGTTGCCAGCGCCTGGAACAAAGAAATCTACAGTCAGAGTTTGATTAAGAAGCAGCATTTAATTGCCCAGGACTCATGCAGAATTGACAGGGCCCAGCACCTCTCTGCAGTAAAAATCAAAACACAGGG